GCTGAGTATATTTGGAGAACAGAAGGAGGAGACATTTCTCTCTGAAGATGAACTCAACAGACCACCTACACAATGCCCTCAACGCCACCTCGCTGCATGTGCCTCACTCCCAGGGAGGGAACAGCACCTCTGTCCAGGAGGACCAGCAAGAGCTCATCCACATGGCCACCTTAGTGACCTGTACTTTTCTGCTCGCAGTCATCTTCTGCCTGGGCTCTTATGGCAACTTCATCGTCTTCTTGTCCTTCTTTGATCCAGCCTTCAGGAAGTTCAGAACCAACTTTGATTTCATGATCCTGAACCTGTCCTTCTGTGATCTCTTCATTTGTGGGGTGACGGCACCCATGTTCACCTTCTTGCTGTTCTTCAGCTCAGCCAGCAGCATACCGGATGCTTTCTGCTTCACTTTCCATCTCACCAGTTCAGGCTTCATCATCATGTCCCTCAAGATGGTGGCAGTGATTGCCCTGCACCGGCTCCGGATGGTGTTGGGGAAGCAGCCCAATCGCATGGCCTCCTTTTCCTGCACCTTGCTCCTCACTCTGCTTCTCTGGGCCACCAGTTTCACCCTTGCCACCTTGGCTACCCTGAAAACCAGCAAGTCCCACCTCTGTCTTCCCATGTCCAGTCTGATGGCTGGGGAAGGGAAAGCCATTCTTTCTCTCTATGTGGTTGACTTTACCTTTTGTGTTGCTGTGGTCTCTGTCTCTTACATCATGATTGCTCAGACCTTGCGAAAGAATGCTCAGGTCAGAAAGTGCCCACCTGTCATCACGGTCGATGCTTCTAGACCACAGCCTTTCATGGGGGTCCCTGTGAAGGCAGAGGGGGATCCCCTCCAGTGTACCATGCCGGCTCTATATAGGAACCAGAATTACAACAAACTGCAGCACATTCAGACCCATGGGTACACCAAGACTCCTAACCAGCTGCCAACCCCTGCAGCCAGCCGGCTCCAGCTGGTATCAGCCATCAACCTCTCCACTGCTAAGGATTCCAAAGCCGTGCTCACCTGTGTGATAATCGTGCTGTCAGTCCTGGTGTGCTGTCTTCCACTGGGGATCTCCTTGATGCAGGTGGTTCTGTCCAGCAATGGGAGCTTCATCCTTTACCAGTTTGAACTATTCGGATTTACCCTTATATTTTTCAAGTCAGGATTAAACCCTTTTATATATTCTCGGAACAGTGCAGGGCTGAGAAGGAAAGTGCTCTGGTGCCTCCAATACATAGGCTTGGGAGTTTTCTGCTGTAAACAGAAGACTCGGCTTAGAGCCATGGGGAAAGGGAACCTCGAAGTCAATAGAAACAAATCCTCCCATCATGAAACAAACTCTGCCTACATGTTGTCTCCAAAACCACAGAAGAAATTTGTGGACCAGGCTTGTGGCCCAAGTCATTCCAAGGAAAGTGTCATAAGTCCTAAAATTTCTGCTGGACATCAGCACTGTGGCCAGAGCAGCTCGACACCCATCAACACGCGGATTGACCCTTACTACAGCATCTATAACAGCAGCCCTTCCCAGGAGGACAGCAGCCCTCGGAACTTGCAGCCAGTGAACTCTTTTGGATTTGCCAATTCTTACATTGCCATGCATTATCATACCACCAATGATTTATTGCAGGAATATGACAGCACTTCAGCTAAGCAGATTCCAGTCCCCTCTGTTTAAAGTCAGAGAATCTCGTGTAAATGGTTTTTGTTTCTGATACTAAATGATTTTTTTTTAACTTACTGAGATCAAGTGGTGGATCAAAAGTTAAAGATTCAGCTAAAGAGTTTGCAGTTAGGATTTCCCTTTGTCTGAAGTATTAGTACCTATTGATTTGCTTTGTAATTTCTTGATGTTTTAAGATACGATGTAAAAGTTTATTATTTAGATTTTTACCCCCACCCGTGCCCTAGTCTTTTGTACTAAGCCTTTGAATAGACACCAGGAATGAAAATGCTACTATGTTAAAGTAGAAAATTAATTATGATAATTTGAATCAGTATTATGAGTCTTCAAAGTATATATTGGCTGGATTTTTTAAAAGAATGTGAAGGTTCAATCTTTACTGGGTGTTATTTTTATTAATTGAATTATAAAATTTGGTTCTTTGAAGTGCAGAAATAGGACACAATACACTTCTCTGGTAGCAGGTTGATTTGCATATATAATATATTGTTATAGTAGAAAATCAGAACTATGTTACCTATAGCTCTGACTTTACCAGAAATACTCACACAGGTTTTGGGTACTTTCCTTTCATAAGATGATGAACAATTAAGAATACAGTATTATTATTATTACTGCCATTTCTTATTATAGACGTTATTCTGTGTCAGTTGAGTACCTGCAGTTTTTCTTTTAAAAAGAAAGATTTTTTCATTGTTAAAAGTGAAATGTTATTTCTTGCGATGATCTTACCCAAGAGTCCTTGTGAGGAGGACGGCATCTGCTGGGCTGGTGTGCTGCTCCTAGGAGAGGAGGTGTGATTGTGGACACGCGGGACGTCGTCCTGAGGGAGACGATGTGGACTGACACACGATAGGCGATCTTTATTACTGCTTACCAAGACACTGAGATGAGATTGGGAGTGTTTTATTTTCCTTTCGTGGGAGAAGAGTTTATCAACTGCTCACAGTATCCGAGTTACCTGTTTAGAAATAACTTTTGTCTTATCTATTATTATGGCAGAAAATTTCTCAAAATGAACTCATTTTTATGTAAAAATATTTTCATTATACAGTTAGTATTTGAACTCACTAGGATTTTAGAACTGTAAGTGCTAGATACAAGATGAGCATTAAAATACAGAGCCTATCTTTATTAACTGTTATAGTCAAGAATTATTACCGAAGTTTGGATGCTACTTTTTTATTTTTATTTATTTTTTATTTTATTTTATTTTTTAGGTTTTTGCTATAGGGCGCATGCGCTCGCCAGACAGACAGAGAGAGACAGAGAGGAAGAAAGCGAGAAATCACCTCACCGGGGGATGGCCACGCCACAATCCCTTCTCCTCCGTTCTCTTCTCGGGATCTTGGGCACGCATGCATACGTGCCCGGTGTGTTTTATTTAAGCCTCCGGGTCCAGGACGCGAACCATGGTCGACTACGTGGGAATCCAGCGACATAGCCATTACGCTAACTGCTGGTCCCTGGATGCTACTTTTTTCCTTTGATGAAAGGCCCTCAGTTTCTAGCACCCTCTCTCTGGCTATTCCCAAATGTCAGGGGAGGTGTGGAGAAGACAGGTGTTCCTCCAGGACCCTGCTCCACCTTGACTAGCAACAGATACTTTTTAGTATTGACCAGGCATTTCTGTTTCTGAGGTTTAAGTACGAGGTATGGATTTAATTAGTTTTAAAATGTACGTCTTTGTACTAACTTACCTATTTACTCCCTTCCTTCCTCCCTCTCCTGTCTCCCTTGTCTTCCTCTCTTCCTTTATTTTTGCTATTTTTCTAACCAAAGAGAAAATATCCATTTTCTCACTTTTTTTTGGGTAACCGAATGCTATTTTTGAAAGTCACTATTAACCTATTTCAATTGTGTTTTTATATTTTTAATACAATATTTCATTTATAACTACTCCAGTGAGATAGGTTAGTATATGACCTTTTTTTAACAAAAGTTAAGAAATCTAATGGCCTTTCCTAAGATCATTTGAAGAATTATGACAAATTAGAAATTAGACTTATGTCTTAATTCAAAACCTGGTATTTATTCCAATAAGCCAAACAGCTTTATAATTAATAACATTAATCAGGATATTTCATACTTTTTAACATATATGTCTCTTTGCTTGGCCAGGCATTTTAAATGTGATTTCATAAAAGGTTAAAACAAAAGTTATTTCTACGGGGGATGGCCACGCCACAATCCCTTCTCCTCCGTTCTCTTCTCGGGATCTTGGGCACGCATGCATACGTGCCCGGTGTGTTTTATTTAAGCCTCCGGGTCCAGGACGCGAACCATGGTCGACTACGTGGGAATCCAGCGACATAGCCATTACGCTAACTGCTGGTCCCTGGATGCTACTTTTTTCCTTTGATGAAAGGCCCTCAGTTTCTAGCACCCTCTCTCTGGCTATTCCCAAATGTCAGGGGAGGTGTGGAGAAGACAGGTGTTCCTCCAGGACCCTGCTCCACCTTGACTAGCAACAGATACTTTTTAGTATTGACCAGGCATTTCTGTTTCTGAGGTTTAAGTACGAGGTATGGATTTAATTAGTTTTAAAATGTACGTCTTTGTACTAACTTACCTATTTACTCCCTTCCTTCCTCCCTCTCCTGTCTCCCTTGTCTTCCTCTCTTCCTTTATTTTTGCTATTTTTCTAACCAAAGAGAAAATATCCATTTTCTCACTTTTTTTTGGGTAACCGAATGCTATTTTTGAAAGTCACTATTAACCTATTTCAATTGTGTTTTTATATTTTTAATACAATATTTCATTTATAACTACTCCAGTGAGATAGGTTAGTATATGACCTTTTTTTAACAAAAGTTAAGAAATCTAATGGCCTTTCCTAAGATCATTTGAAGAATTATGACAAATTAGAAATTAGACTTATGTCTTAATTCAAAACCTGGTATTTATTCCAATAAGCCAAACAGCTTTATAATTAATAACATTAATCAGGATATTTCATACTTTTTAACATATATGTCTCTTTGCTTGGCCAGGCATTTTAAATGTGATTTCATAAAAGGTTAAAACAAAAGTTATTTCTACTTGTAAAATTTTAAATATCAGGTTTCCTCTGTGATCTTTGAGTCTGAGATTATCTGACCAGCCAGGGGCCCATCTTTGGGACGTAAGAATGATAGCATAAGTAAAACTAAGCATGTGCATTTGAGATAGTCTCTTTATGCTCATCAAGAAATTACTGACTTACCTTGCATGAAATAAATAGTGGGCAAGATTCTTGGCCCCACTCCATAGCTGTATCTCTTATCTATGTATATGTATCTAGATAATAGATACAGACATATAGATACATACAACTCGTCTCTTTGTAAGTTATATATGTCTATCCTTAGATGATGATATAGGTATAGGTAGACATATATAACTTGTCTCTTTATAAGGGCTAAAATGAGAACTAAAAGCAATGAGAATTCAACTGAATATGATTTATTAGCAGGGTACATTAATTAGTACTCTTGATGTATTATTAACTGTAATGCAAAGTATGTGATGTACTTAATAATATATTTTATAATAATTGTTCTTACATTAACCATTAGGCCAGATTTGTATATCTGACGCTTTTAATGTTCTTTTAAAACAATGTTTGGAGAATAAAAATATTAAAAATCCTAACATTTCTGAATTTCAGACTGCAGTATATGGCTTTCCTGTGCATTCATTTAAAAACTATCAGAGCATGGCAGTGATTATTTTTGCACAGCGGACAACGGTGTGTTGCACCTCAAAGAGAGTTCTTTTCCTTAAGAAATGAAACAACATGGGACCAGCAGATGGTGTAATGGTTGGTTATTGCTGGACTTTCACCTGACCAACCACAGTTTGAGTCCTGGACCTGGAGGGTTGAAACTCATGCTGGATGCATATGTGTATGTGCCCAAAATCCCAAGAGGAGACTGGAGAAGAGATTGCAGAGTAGCCATACCCCATAGGGGTTGATTTATTTCTGTCTCTCGGTCTCTGTCTCTGTCTCTCTTGTGAGTGCACATACCCTATAGTAACAATCTCTCCAAAGGGACCAGCAGATGGCTTAATGGTTATATGCTGGACTCCCATGTAGTTGACTGTGGTTTGAATTCCGGACCTGGTGATTTGAAACTCACACTGTGCACATATATCTGTGTGCCCAAAATCCCATGAGGAGAATGGAGGAGAAGGGATTGTGGCATGGCCATACCTCTGGGGAGAGGGAAGTGACTTCTTGCTGTCTGTCTCTGTCTCTCCAACAAGCAGGTGTACCCTATAGCAAAAATCTCCCTTTAAAACAAAAAGAAAAAACCAAAACTTTTAAAATGTGTTTCTTGACCACATTTTACACCATTATATTCTCAGACTAACCAAGAATATTAACTCCAAAAATTATTTACTAATCTTACAAGAAACACACTGAAGTCATCCCAAAAATTCCAAGAGGAGAATGAAGGAGAAGGGGTTGAAGCATGGCCATCTTTCTTGGAGGGAGTGGTGTTTCTCATTTTTCTTCTCTTTCTCTCTTTTTCTCTGTCTTTCTCTGACAAGCACACATACCCTATAGCAAAGACTAACCTGGGTCGGTCTGTAGCACAGGTGATTTAGTGCTGTTTGGAGGGAGCCAGATTCCACATTGGTCAATTAGCAGAGGTGTGTGCACACATGCCCAGGATCATGATAGGAAGCAGGAATAGAAGAAGGGAGATTGTAACCAGGCCTCATGGGGATTTTTAAGGTTTTTACCACAGAGTACATGTGCTCATGCTCATTGGAGAGAGACAGAGAGACAGAAGGAAAGTGAGAAATCACCACCCAGGGGGAAATGGCCACACCACATGGCTATTCCCCCCTTTCTCACTTTCTCTGGCTGGCTTCAGCACGCACACATGCCCTGTAGCAACACCTAAAAAAAAAAGAAGAAAGAAAATTGATGAGCTGTGTAATGTTGTTGAGAGTAGAGATTTAACATGATTATGGGATAAAGAGGTGAAGCGGGTCTTTGGAAGCTGTCAAGGCAATCAGGTGGGCCCTCATGATTGGTGGGTTTGTAAGGAGAGGGGAGGAGATAAACATGCCTTTGTTCTGCTCTGCTCAAACTCCCCTTGCATGTGTGCCACACCGGCCCCAGCAAGAAGATCCCCATCAGATGTGACCTCTTGAACTTGGGCCTCCAAACGCATAAGCTAAATAAGCCTCTCTTCATTATAAGTTATCTAGACTTAGGTATTTGTTATAGGCAAAACAATAGGCTAGAACCTGTCTGAGACAGGTCTCCATGAAAGACTCCACAATAAACATTTTCACCCTGAGCAGCCTGAAACGCTCCTGTTTCTGCTACAAACGGCAGAAGAGGTCAGGAGGCCTTTTTTTTTTTTTTAAAAGAGATTTTTGCTATCAGGCACACGTGCTTGCCAGAAAGACAGAGACAGAGACTGAAAGCGAGAAATCACCCTCTTGGGGTATGGCCATACTGCAGTCCTTTCTCCTCCATTCTCTTCTCGGGATCTTGGGGCACACACGCACAAGCAGCCAGCATGAGTTCAAGCCACTGAGTCCGGGACTCCAACCGTGGTGACTATGTGGGAGTTCAGCAATGTAACCATTACGCCATCTGCTGGCCCCATTTTTTAAGTTTTTAATTTTTTTTTTTTTTTTTTTAGTTGTCAAGAAGGTGCACACAGTCACCACAGAGAGACAGACAGGAACTGCAGTTGCCAAGGAAGATCCAGCTTCTGAGCAGCACATTTGCCACTGCATCCCAGAGCCACCTCCCCTTTATTTTCTGGGTTGTCAGGTTGCATAGAAAAATGTAAAGACTTTCATGATGACCTAATATTTATTCTATGAGTGACAGAGACAGAGAAAGAAATACAACATCCCTGACAGGATCCAATGCTACACTCCATGCCCAGCCCTGCCCGCCCAGATCATGGTCTCACATCTGCCAGGTGTGCTCCGGGAGACCTTCAGATGTGAACCAGCGATCCTCCGATGTGGCCAATGTGGATCTGTCCTGCAGAGCATAGCGCTTTACCGCTGTGACACATCCAACTCATCCCCCACCCTGGTTTTTATAATAATCATCCTAACAATGTGTGTGTGTATGTGTGTGTGTGTGTTAGATTAGTTTGAGAGAGAGACCTGCATCTTCCGCAGTCTGGTCATGCTGGAATCCCTTCCAGTCCTCTAGCTTGTTGATGATCCTGGGCACTCATACACATGCCCAGTGTGCAAAA